AGAGAGAGAGAGAGAGAGAGAGAGAGAGAGAGAGAGAGAGAGAGAGAGGGAGAGAGAGAGAGAGAGAGTTCCTATAAACCCTACACAAATAAGTACCCTACACAATACATTAACCATTTAAATCACGAATGTTTCTGCTTTTTCTTTGTTCAATCGATATTTGGGGATTTTTGGGATCGCTAACTACGAATTTGAAGTCAATTTTTGAAAATTCAAGATGGCGGATCCAATATGGCGGACGACAATTTTAAAGTTCCCTCGATTTCCGTGAAAATTGGTATCGGAGGGCGTTTATGGCGTCGCTGATCATGAATTCAAAATCACTTTTTGAATTTGAAATTCAAGCTATTCACAGATTTAACTTTATTCATTTACAGAAAGAAATATAACTTATCCCGATTGTTGGTATTTTGGCTCGCCATATTGAATTTTGAAATTTTTGAGGTTGCGTTATCATCTACAACTCAAAAAGCATCAACCAAGTCATTTTTTCCATAGATTTACTTTGCAATATTTTTGGCAAATAAATTTCTTTTAAAAAAAATACCATTGTTTTACATTAATTTGTTTATGAATAATTAAATTTGCAAAATTTAATGCAGATGATTCTGTTAAAAGAACATCTAAACTTCATAATAATGAATCCACATTTACCGCCTTGAAGTCTCTACAAATTAGTAAATTAAAATTAGTAATTTAAATTCGTAAAAACTGTTCTAAGAAAGATGTATCATATATGATACACTATGACTTAAAGGGTTAATACATTGAACATATACATTCGTTATTTTAAAGACATACAAAGCTTAAAAAGCACTTTATATGATTATTTCAACATGATAAATCCTGATTTTCGTACCTTTCTCCGAACCTGATACATAAGCAATTGTTTTTTCTGTTTTTAGAAGATCCCAAGAAAAGTTTCTAACGATTAGTTAAGGTTCCGTGAGTGGGCAAAAAATAATCTGTTTTTAATATCCTTTTTATGGCGGGCGTTACCTTACATCCTGCCATGCTTATCACGCTGGTACACGTCGCGGATCATCGTTTTCGATATAATGAAAATCTCTTTGTGCCTCATGAGGGTGTTATTTACGAGCCATTTGCAGCAGATATATCCGCCCTCGCAGCGGCCGCAGTCACATTTCTACCCTTTGGTCGCGACTTCTTGTTCGGTTTCGCAGTACAAATTCAGCCCCCGCACTCATCCTGAACATCTCCCCGCATCTCTTCACATCCCCTCGATTGCTCTGTGATCTCATCGTTCTGGGTGGAGACCGCGGCCGATGACGCAATAAAAATACGTGTCCGGATATGCGCGCAAAACGATACGTCGGATGAGCCGTGCGACAACAGGCGACGACGAATAGAGTGAAGGAAGCACGCATTCGCCACATTGATGACGACGATGCTGATGCGCGACGGCGACGATGAAGATGACGTGGTGGTGGTAGACACGACACCCACCAGAGGATCCTTTTGCTCTTTTACGTGATGGACGAAAAATTTCAGAGCGGCAGGGTGGAAAGGGATTGACGCGGGGGATGAGAGTACCTCCGCGTGTATAAATGTGGCCCGCGCAAGTTCCACCAATTCACTCGCTCTCTGACCTCGAAACTCTCGAAGCTCTCCTCGTTGTACCTCTCTCACCCTCTGTGTGCGTGTGTGTGTGTGTGTGAGAGAAAGCTCTCGTGGTACCGACCCCCGGCTAGACCACCGCACCATCATCATCCCCGCTACTCTTCCTCTTCCACTTCTTCCTCCTCCACCGGCTTTTCCTCCTACCCTTCGTCCTGCCGATAGCCGTACGCACCGCGCGCTTTGAGTTTTCGTCACTCGTGACGAAACCCGCGTCTCGTGACCACCTCGTGGAAGCGCCGCAGCATCCGTGGAGAAACGGCACCGAACAGCAGGGGATCTGGCAATCACACCGAATCAACTTGGTACAGGAGGCTCCTGAGGACACGGGACCAGTGTTTTACCTGCGTGCGCTCGCACAGTTACAACAGACGTAAGGATCGCAGAATTCCTCTTGGTCGACGAACACGACAATGGTGAGTATCGTATTATTTGTGAGTGAGACGGCGGTCTAACGATGAGTCTGAATCGATTAACACGTTGAGTGCTTTGTGACGGCTACCGATTACAATCGGTGTTATAATACTGCAGGAGCTTATTGACCAGGGATTACGGGTTTATTATTTCACGGATCAGGAATTTAGGGATATCGATACATATGTGTACATTTGGTTGCAAGATAGTTAAGACATAATGAAGTTTGAATTTCACCAAACAATTAACCTTTCTTTAAAAAATTAACCGTTCCTTAAAAAAAATAATCTTACAACCAAAGTATATTCATGTTTGGGTTATTTCAAAAAGTGTTTATTAAATGCTCGCGGAGCATTTTTGTTTAAAAATTACTAAAATGCTTAGCAATTTCTTTCATAGAAAGGTTTTCAACTAAAAAAGAGTAAAGTAATTTCAAATTTTTTTTAAAAAAAAGTAAATAAGGTAATTTTAATAATTTTTGGAAATTTTTTCGAAAATAGCGAAAATATATTGTTACTCGCACGGTTAAGAGTCCTTGAAAGGCTTACACAGAAATTATATTAATATATTATTTTCATTAATCATTATTATTTATTGCTATTAATTATATTACATTATTATATTATTACATAAGCCCATGAGTAATAGCTTTCAATTTTGACAGATGGATAAGTTTCCAATTTCATTGTGTTTAAACTGCCCTGCAATTTGTATGTTTAAATAAGTTAGATACATCTTGTTTAATTGAAATATGGCTAACAAATATATAACAAAAATTACCGTGAACAAATATTTACTACAAAATTCCATAAGAGAAAGAAAAATTTCGTTATATGATTAACAAATATCATTTAAAAATTAAATTATTATCTTTTAATAAAAATAATCTTTGTATAATAATTACCTTTTAATGAAAATTTGTTGAAAGTTGTAGATGTTAAATTATCTATACACGGGGAGAAAATATAATATAGCTCTTTTTCACATAAAATCCTTTTTCAATTTAACCATGTTTTTTTAGTAATGTCAACAGAGCTGATCTTCCATTAAAAAAATAAATTTTGTGATAGTAAACTATAATCTTTAAATAATAAATAACAAATAAAACGTGATAAGACACTCGATATCGAAAATAAAGAATAAGAGCTATTCATTGTTTTGTCAGGAGACGCGTAAGATGGAAATTCGAACGGGATGATTATAGTTAAGTGACAGAAAAAGGAATTTAGAGCCATTCCTCAAGCGCAGTATATTAATTACAAAATACAACGTATGTCTGATGCTGATATTTTTGAAACTATTATTTGTTGTTTTCCGTTCATCAGCTTTACATTACTTTTACATTACTTTACTCAAAAGTAACCTTTGTCTTCTGAACGGATTCGTCAGTTATTGTGAATCAGGAATATTTCGTTGCATAAAAATCGAAATAAATAAATAAATAATATAAAAATTAAAATAAATAATATAAATAACGCACAAACAGACAGGCAAAAAATAAATATATAATATTTAAATATTAGAAATAAATTACACAATTGTAGATTACAATCGGAAGGATAATAAATTAAAGCAGACTGTCGATATGTCTCTATAAAATTAAGTGTAGCAATTTTTGCTACAAAATTCTTCCGTGCAAATTCTTTTCCGTGCAAAAATTTGATTCGATTAACCAGATGTCAAGTGAAGTATGAATAAACTAGAAATTTCGATTGAGAGAAGTTATCAAAATCCTGTTCAAGTTAACAAGATTTCTAGTTAAACAAAACTGTTCAACTTGAACAATTGCAAAGTTTTATTAACTTGAACAAAATTCTAATAACGTCAACTGAAATTCCGGTTCGTTCATATTTTACTAAACATTTAGTTAATCAAATCAAAAATGTTTTCGTGTATAATACGTCCCAAATTAAATTTATATTTACCGTTCCTTTAGTTTATATAATATAATTATGAGAGTCAAGCTCTTCTCTTTCTTTCTTGCACGAGTAATGAAAATTAAGGCAGAGGTCGACGTATTAAGAGTTCATCATGGTGTCCGCTCTTTTGTAAGTATGGCGCGCTTTTATTCTTTGGAGTTCTTCATTTCATTTTATATCCTTTCGATGAAACATACGAAATAAACTTACGAAATAAACAGAAATAAGACATAAAGGGCGGCTCTATAGAGGGTATTCGGTAACTCACTCAGAAGAGCTGCGGTGTACAGGTAAATTAGGTCAAACTGAACAAAAAATTTCTCTACTATTTTGCGAACCACATAAAATTCTAAATTATTAATCAAAGCGGATTCATAAACGATCACGCGCCATACGGTAGATGAGTTGTGGTGGCAACGTCTACCTCTGTATGCCTTGTATATTAGGTCAAACTGGATAAAAAGTCTTCTATTTTCCAAATGATCACGTACATATTTAGTTATTACTTAAAGAAGTTTGGTGTACAGTTATGCGCGGTAATGCATCAATCTTTTTTAATTAATAACTAAACATCTGCATGGTCATTTGGAAAATGACAGAGAGAGAGGATGTTCTTGTTTGGTTTGACCTAACATACAGGTTGTTGCACTTACATACAGTACGACGGGTTGCCTCGTCGGCAGGTACGCTTTCTTTCCTATGAAGTTTACTGCGTTCAATTGCGCGCGTGACAATTTCGCCAAGGTCTACTATGACACGGTACGCGCGCCTGCCGACGAGGCAATCCGTCGTACTGACCTGTATGTAAGTGCAACAGCCTGTACAAGTGGCAAACGTTGCTATCACGGCTCATCTATCGTACGTGACGCGTGATCATTCACGAATCTTCTTGGATTAATAACTTTGGATTAATAACTCAAAATTTGACGTGGTTATTCGCAAAATGGTAAAGGAATTTTTTGTTCAGTTTGATTTAATCTATCTATACATAGTTTCTCCGTAAATTACAAGACATCCTGTAGATACTATAAATGTAACTGTAGATACCTAAAGGTACTTGGCGTCCTGCGAGTATGCATCCACGCAAAAACTCAGCGCAGACACGAACGCAATTGTAAAATTATTTCTCATTCGAAGCGATCTGACCGTGTGAAAAGGGATATACTCGTGATCACGAGGGGATGTTTCCGCAGGAGATCGAATAAAACAGCAGCGGAAAGAGTAACTTCCGTAATAGAGAAAAAAGGGTTTATCCTTGCGCTTTTGAACGGCGCGCACTCGCAGAATTCGACATACCAACACAAAATGTCATTTGCATAGCAAACGCGTGCATCCCGAAGTATTTATTTAAACACTTATATACTCTCGATATTCCTCAGCGTCGGGCGTAAATCTATCGGCGCCGGGAGCCGTAAAAGGTCAACGGAGAGGACTGGCAACGCGCACGCGGAAGTGACAAGAGAAGTGGGTGACGCGTTTATGGAAGATTAGTACGAATCGTGCAATCGTAGCGAATTGCACGATATATCACACCCGAGACGGGCGAGACGTGCCTGTTTCGCGTTCCCGTCCCGATCGGTTTTGCGGCTCTGCGGCGAGATGATCGAGGCAGGAGGCGGGAAAGTGCATCGTACCGCTGATGCAGTCGTAACGCATCGATGAGGAGTCTCCACATTTCTAACTTACCGTGCACCAGGCCGAGGCGAGTGTAGATCGATGGCACTCCGAATTGCTTTCGCGAGAACGACTGCGGCGTTTTACGGGGATGAAGTATAGGGGAAATCAAATCACCTTGACCCGAGGGTCATGTTGGTAATGCATTTTATTTATGTATTTATTATGAGAGCGACAGTGAAAAGAGCAGATTGCAAAATTTGTTTTTTTAGAACAATAAAACAATAAAAATGCGTACTATTTGGCCTTTGCTGTATATTTTAAATATGTGTAATATTATCAACAAGCACAATTAGTGAAAACACAAGAGAGCTCTACAATCCTCTCCTCTTTTTTCCACTCTCTCCTCCTCTCTCTCTCTCTCTCTCTCTCTCTCTCTCTGCCTTTCATTTCTCCGTTTTTTATTTTCTATTTTTTTATTTCTTGCTACCTCACTTATATTTTCATTCTTTTTTACTTTTTTATATATTTGTCAGTTTTTATCAATGTCTTAACGATAATGTGTAATCTTATTAACAAGCATAAGCAGCGCATAGTATAAATCATTTGTAACATCTTTCTCTCCCTCTTTTCCATAAAACATATTCTTTTACGTAAGATAAAAACTCTTTTATCGACATTTCTCTCCAGATAAAAATCTGTTTTTTTTTTATTATCAGTATTGATTAAACTTCTTGCCTACATTTTATGATACTAAAAGAGAACTTCATAACTAAAATTGTGAACAACAATCGCTAATTGCAAGAAAAAAAGAATTTTTCTGGAATGTCAATGACTATGTATGACTAAAAGAAATCAATAATAAGCGTTTTATCTTTTGGGTGATTATACTTTTTTATCCTTTTGTTTCCTTTATTTTTCTCATTCTTTGACTCTGTGATCCTTTTAATCTTTCCTTCTTTCTTTCTTCCTCTCTCTGTCTTTAATCTCGCAGCTTTAAAGAACATAGGAAAAATACCTACTTTTTAATTAGTAACTTTTACTTTTTAATTAATACAATCAATATATTTTTTACTGATCTTTAATGTTATATTTATAACTAGTGATTCAGTTATAAGTATAGCATAGTAATCAGTAACGGAAAACATCAGTTAATAGTAGCGACTATTTCCATTATTTACGCAGTTTGCAAACACAAACAATACCATTGCGTACAAGGCGTATGAAAGCCGTTAATTCCATCGTTGTAAATACAGAAAGTTGGATTTAATATAGCGTATAACGAACTTGTGCACTACAGATTTTGCAATAAAATCTTGCACTGATCAAAATCAGTGGAATATAATACGTAGTAGTAAAATATTTTCATTAAAAATCAGTAAATATTTAGATTGTCAGTGAAATACTCTTTTTACTGGTTCAGTCAGAAACATCCCTGATAGACATATCCCTGATAGTCGTATGTAAAT